TAGAGGTTCAAGTGAGTGTCCGTCCCTTTGGGCCAAATGATGCCTGGAAAGAGACATGAAGGGGCAGGTGGTAGACGTTACACCCCGCGCCCAGAGCATCTGCGTCAGTATCACCTCAGAACTTGTTAGAAATGCCATGTCTTAGGCCCCCTCCCAGACCAACTGAATGAGAGCTTCAGAGGGTGGAGCCCAACTTTGTGTTTTAACTAGCCTTCCAGGTGATTCTGACACTAAAATCTGAGAACTACTGGCCCAGACTCTCCCTCTGATTCTGGAACTTAGGGTTTAGGTATTTCTGTTTTGACAGATGGCTACAAGGTGACTTTTGACCTTTCTTCTTGGTTGAAGCCAGCTGCCCTGCTGGGGAGAAAGGAAACACCGTATCCCCAGAGTTTGTAAGAAAAAGGGAAAAAAGGCTGCGTTCTTGGTTATTTTTGAAGGTGCCGAGAGAACTCGCCCCAGAGAGCTCGTTAAGAAGGACACAGGCCTGCAAGAGTCCACTCTCCCCTCCCACAAAGGTACCGATGTGTTTGCCTCACCTCCTGCCCCGGGGCCTGCTGCTCCTCGAGTCAGTCCTTAAAAGGAGCAGTGGGTGCCACATTTGTTCTTTCTGGTGCCAGGTCTGTGCTGTTTCACTTTGCCGGCGTCAAGTGGATGCTTAATGAGAGGCTGTGACGCAGGCCGGCAGACTTGAGAGAAAGCAGCCTCAGTCTGTGCTTTCTGCAGCTCCTTTCCCTGCCTTCCCAGCCTCAGGTTCTCCCCTCGGTGAAGTTGTAGTCACCCGGGGGCAGCCCTCGCTCAGAAAGAGCTGCTTGCTGGGGTCTGTGCATACTGACAGGTGACTGGAGAGGCACAGTGAAGTGGTATCTTTAGTTTCTCCTATTCCCTTGACCCCCCCCTTCCCGACCTAGTCCCCAAAATAAAAAGAGAGAGATAGCCACATGGGGATTGTAGCCATTTCCTTTACGGGGTTTTTTTTCGGGGGGCGGGGGGGTGTCTAGTACCATCTTTTCCTGTTTTTTCCTTTTTTTTTTTTTTTAAAGATTTTATTTATTTGAGAACGAGAAAGAGCGAGAGAGAGCAAGCATGAGCAGGGGGAGGGGCAGAGAGAGAGAGGGAGAAGCAGACTCCCCGCTGAGCAGGGAGCCCGATGCGGGGCTCGATCCCAGGACCCTGAGATCATGACCTGAGCCGAAGGCAGATGCTTAACCATCTGAGCCACCCAGGCGCCCCCATCTTTTCCTGTTACTCCTGTCCCTGAGGCCAGGGTTGGGGCTGGAGTTGACTGGTGGTCAAACCCTCCAAACTTGCGCCTAGTTAGATAGCTAGGCATCCCCAGTTACCTGTCCCTTGACCATTAGAAAATACAGTCATCCTGCTCATTTGGGCGAAAAAACCTTAACTCTGTGAGGCATAGAGGAAACCCCACAAGGGAGGTTTGATTCTGGGGAAAATAATAAGCAAAGACTGTGGTGGAGTCCATGAGATTACCGCTGGTGTTAACGGAAGAAACGAGGAAACGCTGAGTTAGGAAAGTTGGTGTGTGGACTTAAGGGAAATGCTGAGGGCAAAGAACACCCCAGTAAGAGCAGGGTCACTTTGTGAGGCCCTTAACTCCAGTCGACTCCCCCAGGTGAATAAAGGACGCTCACTGACCTGGAGGGCTGAGTAGACTTTACAAACCATCCCTTATTTCCCTGAAGTGTACGGACCCCAGTGACGATGAGACCAAAAGAGGAGGTAAAGGAGAAGATCGAAAACAAAGTAGGCAAAGATCAAACCAAATAGCGACTTCCTTTATTCAACACATTTGACTGAGTGCCAGGCTACTGTTCATAGAGTGCCTACTTAGTGAGCGGGGCATGTTTTGCATACTCTTTAATTTTCTTGACAACACTTCAAGGCTGTTACTGGCCCCATTTTGCAGATAAGGAAACTGAGGCTTTGGGGGTTTAAACTCGATCAAGATCACCCAGCTAGCTGATGAGACACCTAGGTTAAGATTCAGTCTGTTGGATTCCAAGGCCCATGTCTATTCCACTCTCCCATGCTGCCAATCCTCCAAAAACATACCTCCCTTGCAATCTGGTCTGCTGCTCCCTTCTGCCCAGGTGACAGGGGCTCAGGACAGAGCTATCTTCTGCCCTCTCCGCCCTCCTTGTTATGAGGCCTTAAGTCAAGCTGTCCTCTCCCTACTCTGCAGGAAGCTTCCTTCTCTGTTCCCCCAGCTCTGTGCCTGGGCTCCTTAAAGCTCTGTCTCATGAAGAGCTTCCCACCTTCGAGGAGAGTCTCATCAGTCGGTTGGAGAGGAGGTTCTGAGAGAAAGTCTCCCAGCCAGGCCTTTAAACAAGGGAGCCAGGAATTGCTACAGCCAGGCTTCCATGACCCTGAGGTTTGTGGAGGGGTATCCCTGCTTCCCTCCGGCTCCATAGCTGGTTCCATCCAAGGGGAGGAGGGTAGCCACCATAGCTGCTGGCTCCCTTATCCTGAAGAAGGGCTCCCCCTTTTTTTGAGGAAAGCTCAGTGATACTTGCCTGGCATTACAGTCTTCCTACAGGGATGATGTCCTGGGCCAGTCTCCACACTCTCCAAGCCCTAGTGACTCCCAGGACATCCTGGGAGAGAAGCCCTCTTTCTCGATAGCCCTTCATAACCCAGCTTTCTCTCCTGCTTAGGTCCTGTTGTGAGGGCTGAACCAGAGTTCCGCCCCAATGCTATATCCCCATCCCATAGTCAAACATACCTAGGCCTACAGTCCCTAATGAAGGCCCATCTGTACAGTTGGTAGCACTGGGGGGTTGGGGAGTAGTTTGTGAATCTTAGAATTCACATTCTTGATCATGATTATTTTTGGAGATAATCTGAATTCAAGGGCTCTGCCTGAATCGACTCTTCCCCAGCTCCATCCTTTGGGTCATGGGTCAAGTCCAGGGTCATGCTCCAAGTGTGGGCAAGAGGAAACTTGAGCTTGGAGTCATTCACCTTTACCTATTCATGTCTCACAGGGGTCTTCTTCCTAAGTGCATAAGAATATTCCCAAGCCTTTTCAAAATTCCTCTAATCAACCCCAAACCAACCTCTTCCACCCCCTTCACCTCGTCCCATTCCCAACCAACTTCCTCATTCCCCACTACAGGAAGTTGGCACCACCCACTCACTGGCCTCTCAAGTGTCTTCCCAGGTGCCTCAGCTTTCCACCCGACCCTGAAGCCAGGAAGCTCCCACCTGGCAGGGGCAGCCCTAGCCGGGTCCCCAATATAGCCGGCAATGAGTCTTCGGAGTCTGGAGTCTGTCTGCCCCTAGCCCTCCGCAGATTCTAGTCCAAACCCTTGCTACTCAACCTGTGGTCCAGAAACCAGCAGCACAGGTGTCACCAGGAGCCTATTAGAAATGCACATTTCCAGGCCCACCACAGACCTACTGAATTAGAATCTGCATTACTCTGCACCCTCACATGTGAGGAGCACGCTGATCTGCTGACAAGACACCCCGTCCTCACGCTTCCTGAGTAGAGAGGGTGGAGGGTGGAGCAGGAACCAGTGAGGAAGCCCCAGCTGTGACCCCACCGTTTAGCCCTCACTGACAAGGGAGCATCCTTGGGGATGATCTAGACACTCCCTAGAGAAGCCAGAGAGGCCGGGGAGGCCCGGGACCCTCAGCCGAGAGGGAGAGCCCCCGCAGGGCCAAAGAGGAGGGGAGCAGAGGGGGCCACATGGGGAGAGCCACACGTGGTGAGGGAGGAAGGGGCACCTGCCTTTTCGAGCAGAGGTGAGATGGTTCTCTCTGGGCTCCTACCACCGTCCCCAGCTCCCGCCAGGCTCTGCCGTGCGGCCTGGAGCTGCGGGATGACTGGGTTTCTCCCTCCCTCTTGCTGGCAGAGTCACCATCGCCCACCGGCCGCACTGCTGCTAGTGGGTGCTCAGGAAATGTTTGTTGAATCGAGAGGAAGCCACAGCTTGTGTGGCGTCTGAATAATTCACCAGCCGTGGGCCTCGGGGGAGGGGTGGGGACGGAGACTAAGTAGGAAAGACGCCTCCTGAAGTTGTACTGAGCTAGAGTCACTTTCTCTGTCCCTTGTCTGAGTCCTCGCTTTGGCGTGCCCGCGGTGCAGGGGAGGTGGTGGGGGGGGAGGAGATGGCAGGAAATGGCCCTGGGTGACCCCCTGCACCCCCTTGATGCTGTCCTGACGGTATACTTGCTGTCTGACCTGGGTGTGGGGGAGGGTATCCCTGATGATGAGCTCACCACCCTCCTGTGGGGAGAAGAGGCTGTCCTCTCCCCACCCCACCCCAGGCCGTTTCAGAGAGGAGCCCTTTCCAGGGACCCTCTCTTTTGTGGAGGAAACCTGAGCTCTGCTCTTCTGTCCCCAGCTCAGTCCCTTACCTGCCGTGGCCTCCCTTCCTTCGAGCCTCAGCCTCCTCTTCCAGAAAGGCTAGAGGCTGCCAGCTGATGGCTGAGATCCCCCTGCTTTGGCCATCCTGGGAGTTTGGGGTCGTGTGTCCCCTGGGTGCAAGGCAGAGGCTGGGGAAGGGGCTCAGGCCTGGACTTGTCCTGCCAGCTACCGAGGCTGCCTGCACCTGAGGAGCCGAAGCCGCAACTGGAAAGAGAAGCCAGGCCTCGGGGGGGAGACAGAGGCCAGGAGAGCCAGGTGCCGAGTGCTTCTAAGCCTCGAGTTCTTGCCATGGCAGGGAAGCTTGTGGCCTCGGTGGCAATGGACCCAGGGCAGGGCTCAACAGCCTCAGAGACCAGGGGTGGCATAGGAATACACCAGGAGCTTTACCTGCAGGTAAAAACACACCTATGCAGGGGATGTGCCCATGAGGGGCAAGGAAGGACAGCTCCTTGCCCTCCCAATGTCACCCCACTAGAGAGTTTGCCCAGCTGCTCAGCCAGACCGCCACAAGCCCCCAGCATCCAGATACTCATCGCACGCAAGGGTCTGCCTGCGTTCTTCCCTCCTTCTCTCCCCAGCCTGGCCCCTGTGCGCCCAGGGGCTTTGCTCAGCATCTTCCTGCAGGGCCAGGCTGTCCTGTCCTGCCTCTCATACCTCCTGTGCCCCTTGCCCTTTGGCCCATTCCTCTGGGGGGCCTGCTTCGTGGTGCCAAGCCCTGTTGGGCCCCAGGCTTGCCAGACTTGTCTTCTCTGGGCTCTAGCGGCCCTGCTCCTTGTGGCTCAGAACAAGTCTGTACTTCCGGCTCAGCCTGGGGGTCACTCCACCCCAGGAGCTGCTCAGAACCATCCGGCGAGGACACAGGGTTCTCCTGGGCCCCGGGCCTTGGAGTGAGCGCACACATACTCTCCCCGGCCCCGGGGCTACTGGCCCCTCCTAGAGAAAGGTCAAGGGGAACCAAGTCAGTGCTTTGTGGAGAGCCAGGGACTGGACTAGCCATGGAGGCTCCTGACCCCCTTTGTGGCCGCCCTGGGGATCCTGGGGCTGGGCTGGTTGGTGGGGCACTTGTGGGTCGGCCCGGCTCCATCCCGCTCTGCTTCTGTGAATGCTCCTCCTGGCTCCGAGTCTTTCTGCTACTTTGGCTTCCCTGAAACGAGACATTGGCCCTGCTGGCTGGCGGATTCAGAGCTCATGTCCCTAGCCCGCCCCATCCTGTTCCCAAGCACCCACCTCTTGGCTCTCCAGCTCCTGCTTGTCTTCCTTCGTTTCCCACCTATGGGAACACAGCACGTGGCAGGCCCTGCTCCCACCCACGGCCCTTCACATCCATGGCTCGGTAGCCAGGGGCCCCTGTTCCCAGGGAGCAGCCAGAGCTAGAACAAGGCCCCAGGCAGCGTCCCTTCCAGCCTGACCTTGTTCCCCAGCCAGCCATTTCCTCTGAACACCACCCACTTTAGCGCCATCCCAGGTCCCCAGATGCTGTTTGTGGCCAAGCCCACAGCACCTTGAGTTCCGTGGGGACTCTGGACGTGTCCCTGCCTGCACCGCCTGGGAAAGGCACACCCAACTTTCCCGGGGGCAAGGCAACTGCTGTAATTACTGCCGGCCTCCCCGCCCCAACCTCATTAACCTGCCTCCAGGCAGCCCCAAGGGCTGGAGCAGGCACCTGCACCAGTGCTGGGCCTGACCTCCCAGGGGCAAGGGAGATCCAGGAAGCCCAGATGCTTCCCCTGATTTTGCCCCCTGCCACCTGTTACCTGCGGGCCCTGCCGGTCAGCCTCTCTGTCCCCCGGGCTTTGCTTCGTGTGGCCGACACCACTGAGGGTCTGCTGGGTTGCCCACCCCGAGTAGTACCACCTGCAAGAGATGGTCCACAAATCAAGGAGAGAAGAGGGTCATGGCAGCCCAGCTCCTTCACCAGCTCGTGCGACCCTGCTCCTTCTCCCCCAACTCACATTTACCATCAAGGGACAGTGGTGGGGGCTGTGACTTCCGGTGGCTCCTGGGACCTAAGTGAGGCAAAGGAAATGGAGAAAGAGTGGGGTGATAAAGGATCCAAAGCAGTAACACCAGTCTTCCAGGACTGGGAAGCTGTCAAGTCTTTTCCTTGGTCCAGGTGTGGGTCTTCTGACTCCCAAAAAGGTCCTGGGTCTGGGGTCAAGGGGGCTGGGTCTCTGTGCTCCCTTTGCCATTCCTGGCTAGGCAGCTGGCGGAGTCTCTCCAGCCCCAGCTTCCTCATGTGTAAAAGCAAGGGGACTAGCCATTCTAAAAGCTCTGTTCCTATAACAGGCCAGGGGCAGGGAAGCGAGCTTTCACCCATGAGGGACCAACTTCAAAAGGATCCCAGTGCAGACTTCCTTGTGAGCCTCCTCCCCAGACCTTCTGGGGCCAGAACCCAGGGCAGGAGCTGTGGGTTTGGAGGGTGGGGAGGTGCCCTGCTCTGATAATGAGGGAGAGGAAGTAAGATGTTCTTCCATGCCTCCTTCCAGTTCCAAAAATAAGTGGCACACCCAGAGACAGAGAAAGGAGAGGAAGCACGGGGTGGGGGAGGGGGCTGTGATAAAAGCCAAGGAGGGGAAGGGGGTGAGGTGGGTCTTGGCTCACCCCTGGTGCCGCCCACCCTGGCCGGACCCTCTTCCTGAGGCTTGCCGGAGTCCTGTAGCCTGTGGAGCCAGAAGGTCAGGCTTCTTTGGGGTGGACACAAGCTACAGCAAGACCCACGAAGCCACTGCCTCCCGCAGCCCCAACCCCAGAACCGACGGCAACAAGATGATGGTGGGCCCAAGAAAATGGGGGACCCGGTGCCCACCTTGAGGCCAAGGCCCCACCACAGGGCCCGGGCAGACCCTTAACCACCCTGGAGAGGGTCCCACCAGCCCTCCAGGAAGCATCCGCAGTTAGTCCTACCCCAAGCCCCACAAGCATGTCAGTCCAACGAGCTGCCCAGCCCTGTCACCCACGTGGGCTTGGCCTTGTCCAGGTCCCATGGGCGGCGCCAGTCACCCTGTGCATCTCTGTGCCTGGCCACGCGGGCCAGGTCGATCTGCTCCCGCTCCTGCTTCCACTGGGCATAGTCCCAGCCCACCTCCACAGGTCCCCCCACGGGCCGGTGGGGAACTGGGCCTGGGACCAGGCCTGGACTCTGGGGCTCCCGAGCACCCTGCAAGGATAAGACACTCAGCACCATGGGGAGGAAGCAGGAAGCCTTGGACTTGGAGTGGAAGTCTGGATATTACCAACCCCCGCCCCTCAAGGTTTTGACGTCCCTGTCTAAAAATGAAATCCGTTCCAGCTCTGACACGTTCGTTCGCCATAGGCACGGTTTCCACCCACTTGTTAGCTGTGTCTTTGGGGCAAGTTACTTAATCTCTCTGTGTATCATTTCCTCACCTGTAGAACGGGGCTAATAATAGTGCGTATCCACTGGGCCTTTGCAGGGGTGTGTGGACAGGCCCAGAGTGGAGAGGCACCCGGCCGCGGTGAGCAAGAGCCAGGACTGGGGGCTGCTGCCACCTAGAGGTCACACCTGGCACATGGCCCACCCCAAGGCCCCCCACCTGCTCGCCGTCAGAGATCCAGTTAGGGTAAGGGGCTGACCTCTGACATACCCTATCAAGGTAAGGCCCACCCAACGTGGAGACTGGCCAGAGAAAGGAAGAAAGGGTGGGAATTCTTGCTGGTGCTGCCTGGGCCATGTCCCCAGAGATAGGGGACATAAGTGACTCAGCTTCTCCGCCTCCCCCAAATGATGACTGCCACTTTCACGTCCCCATTCCCTCTTGAAGATGTACTTTCCGTGCAGAATCCGAGCTGTTGGCCATCTGCATGGAGGGAGTCCGGCCCAAGCCCCTTCCACGTGACCCTTCTGCGCCCTGGTTCCTTGCTCTGGTGGGCTTCTCACTTACGATCCGTTTGGCCTGGGGGTAGGTGGGACGGGCAGTGTGGCACAGCCTCGTAAGAAGAGGCTGCTGGCCTGATTCCTGGGTTTCCCCCGCCCACCCTGCTCACCTCAGCTTTGTTTTCCATGGTCACAGCCAGCTCTACCCGTTCCCCCAGGCAGAAAGTACCAGTGTGGTCCTCTACCTCATCGTCCTCAAGCATCTCATCGGCTGCTCCGGGTCTGAGGGGTCTTGCCCAGTTCCGGCTGACCACCCGCCTGCCCTGCAGAATGAGATGCCGTGCCCTCAGACCACATGGCCAGTGCTGAGCAGGAGCTGGGGACGGAGTCCTCTGGGAGGTTCCCCAGGCTGGGTTCCAGCCCTGGCCCTCCCTGGAATGCCCACAGAGGAGCTGACTCTGTGGGGCATTCACATGCCAGTGGCATGAGGTTATCCAGGGACCGGGGCCACCCCGGGGCCCAAGATGCCACAGCAGCCTGTCATCTCTGAGCTGGGAAATCCAGAGCACTCAGACAATGGGGCTTTGTCCCTCAGACAGTGCTCCTGGCATTCAGCCCCCCTTCTCTGTCCCTCTAGGGTTGGGGGTTTAGGAGTGGCCTGTGATTTGGAGCACAGGTACAGGGCTGTGGGGCCCCTAACTTTCACATTCACCTGGAAAAGGGCATGAGGAGGATTCTATTTGGTGGCCTTTTAGCTGTGGCCCTTTGGGGTCAGAGGGACCGCAGTGGGCTGGGCGGCCTCAGGCTGGGAGCTGAAGGGTGAGCCCCAGAACTGGAAGTGGAGGAAACAGAGAAGCAGGAACCGTTGTCCTTCCCAGACATGAGCTGGGCCTGCGGCACCTCACCACCCTCTCTCCCTGCAGGGGGGGGCGGGGTGGGGGGGCTTACGCCGGGGACCTGGCTGATAGTGACAGTGAGGCCATCGGGTCGGAGGAATTCCGCTGTGGTCACGGCCATGCCCCCCTGCTCCGCCTGCCGCCGGTCTTCCTGGATCTCCTGCGGGAGGGCCCGGGGTCAGCAGAGGCCATGGCCCCCCCAGACGCACACAGACAGGCCTACACAGAGAGACACCAGTGGGACCACCAGGGGGCAGAGGCACCGCATCACAGCGTCCCCGAGAGAGCCTCACAGACTTGCCGAGAGGGACCACACCACCATAACTCTGGCCCCAGGCCTAGCGCCTGCAGGGAAAGACCACGGTGCAGGGGTCTGGGGGTCAGACAGGCAATGCCAACCCAGTCGGTCCCCCCCGGCCCCTGTCACGACCCACTCACCTGGTACCTGCGTAGTAAGGCCTGGTTCTTCTTTCGAAGGGCAACTATCCTCCGATCCAGCTCAGCATCCTTCTCTTCCTGCCTGCTCATGGGTGACTCGGCTCCGTGAGGCCCCTGCAGAGGGCCAGTTGGGAGGGGGGGCGGCAAGCTCCTGACTGCTGGGCCCATCCCTTATCAGGCCCCTAACTTTCCACATTCACCTGAGAAGCATATCCTTACCACGAATGGGCCCCGGCCCCAGAGCTAGGCTCACAAGGGGAGATGGCACGTGGAAGGCCCCAAGGCCCCACCCTCCTGGGCTTCTCTGCCTGTCTCTCTGCCTCCTCAGGGGCTCGGGTCAGGGCCTTATACCCAGGCCTGCAGCTCCCAGCAGTGGGCTGCCCCTCCCCCCGGGCCCCCCAGGGAGCTCCACTGCTGAGCAGAGCCTGGAATGAGAGTTATAAATGGCTCTGGCAGCGGAACCTGCCGTGACTGGGAAGTTGCCAGGGGATTCAGGAGGTCGAGGGGGAGGGGGGGAGCCGCTCAGCTCCCAGGCCCAGAACCACAGGAAAAAGAGAGGCCCCGGCTGTGTCCTGGGCTCCCAGGCCCTGGGTCCCACTCCCCAGGCTTGTGCCCAGCCTGTGGGAAAGAGCTGCTCCCACGAGCCCGGCCTTTCCAGGTCTGGAGAGACAGCCAGTTCCGTGGGCGGGCCCAGCTGGGGAGCCACCCTAAGCAAGCCAGGCCTCTGCCCCGAGACCCCAGGTCTCTCCCTGTCTGGCCGCAGGGTCTCCATTGCAGCCAGTGCCCCTGCCCAGCCCCCCCACCAGCCTAGGCACAGCCCTCGTCCCCCCAGGCCCAGCTGTCCCCAGCTGTCCCCAGCTGCCCCCGGAGTGTGAGGGCCTGGTGTCCCGGCCTCCGCCCCAGCCCCAAGAAGCCCCCCGCCAAAGGTGAGGTGCCACTCACAGCTGAGTGCATGGCAACAGTGGGCACCGAGAGAATTCCAGAGCAGCCCCGGGGGAGCCAGAGCAGGAGGGAAGCCGGAGCGCGGAGCCTCCGGAGCCGGAGCCGGGCCTCTGCTGGCCTCTCCCTGCCGGCTTCACTGCTCAGCACACGAGATCATGTTGTGATTACAAAAGACTCCTCTGGGCTCCCAGCCAGGAATGCGCGCCGCCACCCCCACCCATCCACTCTCAGAGGGCAAGGACCAGGGCGCTGGCCCTGCCCAGCACCTCTCCCAGCCCTGCCCCGGCATCCCCAGAGACACAAGCAGGAACCTCTGTCTGTTGGGCCGAGCCCACACAGGGGGCCTGGCTGCCCCAGGCCCTGCCTTCTCTGAGGCCCTATGCCCAGCCGAGCCCCAGCCTGGACATACCTGCAGATGGACAGGCAGCCAACATAAGCCTCCATCCCTCCCAATAGTGAAGAAAGGCCTACAGGATGCAGCTGAGCCCATCGGCCATCCCAGTCTGAGGACCCCCAACTCAAATGGGCCTCTCTTTACTGTCCTCATCAGCTCAGGTTTAGCTAATTTGGAGGCATGGAGAAGCTTACCTCCCCTAGGCCACCAAATACAACTAGATACCTGAAATAACACCATTAGCCATTCCTTTAGGTTGAACATTGTCTTCCCTGTGTTTTAAAGCACAGCCACTTCTGAGAGGCTCAGCTGTTCAAGTCTCCCCTCGGTGTGCGGAACTGGACCCTTCTGCAGGGCCCATGCTACCGCAGCTCAGAGTCAGCCACCAGCCTTCCCCACTCAGGGTCCTCACTCCGGGCCCTTCCTGGCCTTGCTCTCCACGGCTGGCCTTTCAGCCTCTCCCAGCCCAAGTAAAGAAGCAGGCTTTCTCAGGAAAATCTCTCCCCAGTTCTTCCCAGTACAGCTGAGGCTAATCCCTCTGCCCAGGGGAGCAGCTTGCCTGGTGGTCCCACTCTTGGAGCCTCCAGGAGCTGGAGCTTGGGGTGCTGGGGGGTGTCTCTGTTTCAGGGGTACCTGTGGTCTCTTTTAATAGCTACAAGGCCCCAACCTCCAAGCCCTAAAGGGAGAGTCAGAGGTCGCTGCATCCCCCACATCCCTGATTGACCAGGCCTCAGTTTCCCTAATTCCATGCTCTGTCTCCAGAGCAGAAAGCCCTGCTGCTCTCTCCTTCCTCCCCAGACCAGCCCAGTCAGCCAGGGTTTCAATCTCTGTTCCCCTTGAACCGTGTCTTCCTGCCACCCTCCCACCCCCTCCATGGTTAGCCTCTTTCCTGGCCAGGCCTTCACACAGTACCCCTGACCCCACACCCAGTGTCCGCAGCCCCCGAGTTCCCATCCTGCTTGGAAATGCCACCACACTCTCTCTTCCTTTCCTGCTGGATGTTCCCCCCGAGTCAGACTCCCAGCAACGGTGACGCACCCAGGCTCCTCTCCCTGAGCCAATCTCTGTCTCCCTCTGCCTCTCTGTCCTTCTCCTGCCCTCTCTGCATACTCCCTGAAACAGGCTGCTGAGTTCCAGCCTAGCCCCCGGAAGGCCAGAGGCAAGGCCCTGGTGGGGTGGCAGCCCAGTTTCCCACCACCTGCCCTACAACGTGTTGTTGGAACTGGCAGGCCCGCCCAGCACCAGCCTGGGATGGGGAGATGCACCTGCTGAGACCTAATGTTCTCCATCATCTTTGGAACCCAGGCTCCCCAAGCAGGCCTGGGGCAGTGGGGTGTAGCTAGAGGAGGTTACAGGGGCAAGGCCGGGTCAGCTGTGCTCCTCACTCCTGTTCCCAACTCTGTTGGGCTGGGACAGCCGCAGGGGAACAGGAGGCCTGGGTAGCAATCCAGCTGTCCCATAGGGTGGGCGACCCAGCTCTTCTGGAAGGGCCTGCAGGCAGAGACTCTCCCAAGCCAGTGACAAAGGCCTCGGGGCCCATCAGGCTGCAGCCCCACGTGCCCAGGATAAACCAGTGATCAGAGAGGACCCCACAGTTGCTGGCCCCTCCCTTCCCAAGTGTTACACAGTATGTCATACCTCAGAGCAGCCCCTACATTCTCCTATATTCTCCAGAGTCCAATGTGTGTTTATCTGCTCCCCACCAGACAGAGGCTCTCTAAGGGCAGAAATGGTGAGCCGGGGCGCCTGGGTGGCTCAGTCGGTTAAGCGTCTGCCTTCAGCTCAGATCATGATCCCAGGGTCCTGGGATCGAGTCCCATGTCAGGCTCCCTGCTCGGCGGGAAGCCTGCTTCTCCCTCTCCCACTCCCCCTGCTTGTGTTCCCTCTCTCGCTGTCTCTCTCTCTGTCAAATAAATAAATAAAATCTAAAAAAGAAAGAAAGAAAGAAAGAAAGAAATGGTGAGCCAAGTGCCTCCAGATCCCCAGGGCCTGGCACCGTGCCCTTTTGAACCACAGACCCTGAGGCACCTGGGTGACTCATTCGGTTAAGCGTCTGCCTTCAGCTCAGGTCATGATCCCAGGGTCCTGGGATTGAGCCCCGCATCGGGCTCCCTGCTCAGTGGCAAGTCTGCTTCTCCCTCTCCCTCTGCTGCTCCCAGTGTGGGGATGTGACCCCCCCCCCCAGAGAGAGCTTGTGCTCTCTCTCTCTCTCTCTCTCTCAAATAAACAAATAAAATCTTAAAAAAAATAATAATAAATAAACCATAGATATATGCTCAGCGCTTGCAGAGCAAATACGTGCATGAATAAGCCATGCTGTCCTGTGCAGGCCTGTAGGTATCCTACGCATATGCTTTCACTGCCTTGCTCCACCCAGAACACACGCAGCCTGAGGCCCTCGGCAGCAAAGGCCCCTACAAAGTGTAGAGGACGCAGTCTGGGGAAAGTAGAGGGAGAGCATGTATCTGTTACTCCCTGCCACCACTAGAGGACAGCAGAGTCACAAAGCCTGATGAAGTGGGGGTGTTCTTCCCCTTCCCTCGGCTCCCCAGCTCCTCTCCCTGAGTCTCTATAATCCCCAGACTAGAGAACTCCCAGCTGGGCCAGAGTAGAGACGCGACACTGTTGTCGAAGCCTCATTTTACTGACGAGGAGGCCCAGAGAGGTAGCGGTGTCGGCCCGGGGCACACAGCCTTTTGCGTCACACCTGAGACTAGAAGTCAAGGCATCTGTCATCCAGCCAAGCACTCTCCTGCCCCACCCCACCCCCAGGCTGCCCTCGAAAGGCTGTTCCCACAGCAACTCCACCCTGGGCCCTCGTCCTCTCTCGAGGGCGAGGTGGAGACAACGAGGTGGACCCGTTGTCCTAGCACCTCAGCCATGGGTCCTGGTCACATCTCTTCCCTGGCTGGTCTCCCACCCTCTCAGGTGGCCTGCCAGCTGGGCCCACAGCCCCACACCGGGAGCTGACCACATTTGGGTGGCCTTTGCGGTCTGTGGTTTACAGACCCCGAGCTCATCCTGAGGACAAGATGGCTGCAAGTCTGGGGCTCGTCACTGAGGAGGAAAGAGGAGGGAGGTCTGCAGGGAAGAAGGTCTGCAGGGTCTCTGGGCCACACACCGAGACTGGGAGCACAGGCCTGACAGAGGCCCCACTCATGGGCCCCGTTCACTGCTTCCAGAATGGCTGCCCCTGCCCGTGCCCGATGAATAACATCGAAGCGCTCCGGCCCTTGCCCGCCCTCAACCTCGTCATAAAATGAGGCAGAGTGGCATGGGGGAGTCCAGATTAACTTCACCCTCACTGGCTATGTGACTTAGGTAAGTCCCTTATCTCTCTGGTCCTCATCTGCAAAATGTGGTGTACCTACTCCTCCAAGTCGTTGGCAGGCGAAATGAAATAACATGTAATATCCACATCTGGAACAATGTGCGACCCAGAGTAGAGTTCAACATAGTTTTCTTCTTGCCTCAGGTAAGCATGGGAGCTGCCTTCTGGATGCTACCACTGCAGCATCCTTTGAGGGGCCCCAAAGGCTGCCTCCTGCTAGCCTGCTGGGATCTGGACACACTGAAGTCCTCTGAAGTATGAGGCTCACTTGTGACCTGGTGGGGAGATCCTGAGGCACCCCCTCAGCATCCTCTCTGAGCCTCCCTTCATGCTGACCCCTGGCCACAAAGCCTGTAAGGCCAGGGTCCTGCCCCACCCCAACTGCTCCCCCACCCCCACCCCGTGCCTGTCTCCTCTGAAGTCCCAGGCTCCGGCTGCCATCTCCGGCCAGCTAGCGCTGGTGTTTCTGGAAGCAGTCTCTGTGCTTCACCTGCCTCTGTTCCAGCAGGGGAACGAGAGGGCCCAGTTCCGAGTTCACATCCCAGTGCCCAGGAACCATTCCTGGCAGAGGCCAAAACTTAGAGGTCACCAGTATCGCCTTCCCAGCTCTGGGTGTGCGGATGAGTATTGAAGAGGATGGGCAAGGCTGGATCACATGAGCCAGAGAATAGGCAGGTGACCCTCCAAATGGGAAAGGTCAAGAGGGTGGCTTAAAGCCTCCTGGGTTTCCTTTCCTGCAAACCCAATCCCCATCAGGGCCAGTCCTGGCTCAAGAAACTGCTCTCCTGACTCCTCCTGACCTGAGGTCTGTGTGGAAGCCTCTCAGGGCAGGCCAGGCTATGCCTGGGCCGGGGGGTACTCAGAGTACATGAGGTAGGGCAGAAGGGACAGGCCCTGGCCAGGCTCCAGCCACGGGGGACAGTCTGGGCCTTGCCCCTCCCGAGAACACACATGCCAGAGCAGGGTGGGACGGAAGCCCTTTGAGGCATCAGGAGGCAGAAGGAAGGCTGCTCTGGGGGACCCTCTCCTCCGTTCTGCTTTCCAGGGCACACCTAAGGCTGGGACATCACAAGCTTTCCAGCTCCTGGCCCAGCGGCTGTGAGAGATAAACCCTAGTGTGTGACTGAACCCCTGGGGTCTCCCCTCGTTGGGGGCCCTTTTCTCCACCATGAGTGCCAAGGTGACTCCCAGTGTTTTCCCAGGACCCAGGCCTGCCCACCACCAGGAGCTGAGTGCTGCCCTGTCAAGTGCTCGCCCACAACATTAACACGGCACCTCCTGTGTGCTTTCCCTGGCCCAGACGATGAAGGAACCAAGAAGCGAGGACCCCGACTCCACCTCCGAGGCACTAGCCAACACCAGGCTGCAGTTAGCCTGAGGCCAGGGCAGCACGGGGCTCAGGCCAACCAAGGGGTTTTCCAGCTGAGCTTCC